GTGCTTCGCACCTTAGTGCGAATGCAGTCTGAGGCCTCGCACGGTCACACAGGCAGGGAATTTGAGCAAGTGTTTGCCGGAAAGCGAGAAGAGTCTACAAAAAGCGAATCAATTATGGCCTTAGTTTGGTATAATGAATGTAATGTGGTTGTTATCAATCAATATGAATGGTTGGTTGGGTAGGGACATATTGAGATGTGAAACATATAGTGGGGATCCACAATCTTGTATGCCATTTTGGCTCAAGATTGGGGTTCCCCTCGTTTTTCCTTTTGTCATGCCGCCCATCCTGTCGACGGAGCTCTCGACTTGGCGGGTGGTGGCACGGCGGTGGAGACGGGGGAACCGGGGCCAGGAGGCGGGGTTGCTTTCCAGGGAGGAGCGCCTCGCCTCCTTGGCGGCCAGAGGGGCTTACATTGAGTCCCAGTGGAATCAGGTGCTGCGTGCACCTGATATCCCGGCTGACTGGTGTCGAGCTTGCGGCCAGTGGACTACCTCCTGGTGTGAGGGCTGCTACGCTCGGTGTGGGAGTGGCACCAGCGCTTTCAGTGCCATCTGCCACCATTCGACGGTGAACACCTTGTCTGTGACAGGTGCACTACTGCGGGGCTGACCTGGGACTAGGGTCATCAGCGCTTCGTGGAGGAGAATGGAGCCGACCAAGAGAACCAGGTCCACGTCGAGGGGTTTGGAACCCAAACGACGCCCCCGTACTTCCACGAGGCCCAGGAGTCAATCAGCCTCAGCGAGCTTGGCAGCGCCCTCAACATGCCCCCCGAGGCAGTCCGGGACTACATCATCGCCCAGCTCCGCGACCGGATCAGGCCATGGAGGGCCTGCTACAAGAGCTCCTGGTGGACAGGCCCATCGCTCTGATGAACCACCTCGTGGACCTGGGCGTCCACACATGTGAGGATGTTCAAGGCCTGTGGCCTGCGGGCGGCGACCTCTTAGAGGAGCTGGAGCGCCGCCATGGCGCCTTTGCGGCGGAGGATGGCTTCACCATTGTCTCGTTTTGGACCTTGGCGTCCCAACGAGCCCAGACCACCAGGAAGCACCACCTACGGGAGATTTGCATCCATCGCCAATCAGCCATCTCCAGAGCGGCCCCGGCGAGGTCCACTTCCTGCCTCCCGCCCTGTGCGGCGGTTGTTGGAAACGGGTGAGGTCCGTGAACCCCCCCTCATGCTGAGCCTCGCTGCCTCGGATCCGCACGTCAAGGAGCAGGCGGCCAAGGTGACTAAGATCCAGGCCCTCTTCGACCTGTTGATTAGGGATTTCCCCGATCTCACTGAATTGGGGGTATCCCGGGATCAATTGCAGGATGCCACGAGGATGCAGCTGTTGAAGGAGGCGGTCATGCCCGCGGCTGATCGCCTCTCAGTGAACCGGCTTGGAGCCCTCCTGAGCACTCTTCGCAGGTGGCGTGAGTTCGCTCTGCGGCTGGGGTTTGAATTGGCTCAACCCTCACCGTTGCAGCTGAACACCTTCTTCAAAGAAGTGGCGCGGGGGGGCCCTACCGCTGGATCTTCGGTATTTCACGCCCTCAACTGGTTCCGAGCTCAGTTTGGGTTGCAATTCCCTCTGGACCACTGGCTGGTCCGCGGGTACAAGCTTCTACCTGTGGGTCACACCTCTCAGCAAAAGTTGGAACTGCAGCCATGGGAGTTCATGAATCTGTTGTTGAAGCTTCGTCAAAGCTCCGGTACGAAGTCTCTAGATTGCATTCGGTTTGAACATGTGCAACGCTCCAATTTCGACCGCACCGAGGCCAATGCCATGTTCTTTACCTGCTCACAAGGCAAAGCACGGCGCCAGGGAGCCCGGCCTGCCTTCCAATGGGCGATGCCTGACATCCCCTTCCCGGGTTTCAGCTTAGTCAAGATCATCCATGACTTTGTCACCCAGAAATTGTTGCTGGGGCGCAACTACCTTTGGCCAGCCCTACAGTTGGACCCTTTGGACCTGTGGCAGGTCACGGAACACACACCATGGCGCCTGGACCGCAAACTGTCGCGAGGGCGCTTCCTCGAGCTCCTGCGCGGTACCTTGTTGGATTTGGGGACAGCACCTGATCAGGCCCAAACAGCGGGATTTAACCGTTTGCGACGGTTCATGCGGCTCTACCACGCCAAGAAGGCTGAACTGGCCCTGACGGACGAGGGCCTCCATCCACGCGACAGTTGGACCTGTCGGATGCGTCATTCGAGAATGGCACATTACGAGTAGGATGGGTACTCATGACATCTCCTCCCTTGGGAGTCTCTTGTCTCGTCCCATCTGAAGTCACAGAGTCATGGATTGAACGTCATCAACAAATCTACCCCGGAGAAACACTTTGTGGACTCCTCGTGCCGTGGGTCCATGGTGATCTCCTTGAGGGTCGTGACCTCCTCTGGTTCGTGGATAATGAGGCTGCCGTTTCCTCATTAATTAAAGGATCCAGCGGACAAGAAGACGTTCACACTCTTGTCCAACTAGCTCATTTGATTTTCCAAAAACGCCAGATTCGACCTTGGATAGAATGGATCGACTCTGCCAGCAACCCGTCTGACCAGGTTGGGAATTGCGGACGAATGGACCCGAACCCAACCCTGGCAACTGTGCGAGTTGTCTTTCCCGGTTGAACTACGTTTTGTTGCTAGGCCTACGGATCTTCAGCCTTTTCTTTCCTTAGTGAACAGTGGGTGATGCTTAATTTAACAGTGGGTGATCAGGTATGTTCATCAAAGATGACATAAAAAGCTAGTCTGTGTGTTACCAACCACGACTTTCCTCCCAGTGTTATTTTAAAACCGCTGTTCACAATAAGGTGCGTGTAAGGTCTGTTGAACCTCCGCCCTTGCCTGGCAGATTTGAGAGTCGTTCTGCACGGAAAAAGATGCCTCGCTCTTTCGTGTGGAATCGTCCTGTATGTTTCTTATCAATCAATATGAATGGTTGGTTGGGTAGGGACATATTGAGATGTGAAACATATAGTGGGGATCCACAATCTTGTATGCCATTTTGGCTCAAGATTGGGGTTCCCCTCGTTTTTCCTTTTCCCACCCACTACCACCCTTGACACCCTCTGCGGGTACTATAGGGTCGGGTTTGGGATTTCCTGTATCTTCCCCTTGAGGGTGATCAGGTATGTTCATCAAAGATGACATAAAAAGCTAGTCTGTGTGTTACTAACCACGAATTTTCTCCCAGTGCTATTTTAACACTGCTGTTCACAATAAGGTGCGTGTAAGGTCTGTTGAACCTCCGCCCTTGCCTGGCAGATTTGAGAGTCGTTCTCCACGGAAAAGATGCTTCGCTCTTTCGTGTGGAGCCGTCCTGTATGTTTCTATATCGTATCATATCTGGAAAGACATGGAAAGACACATTCATGCAAAACCCTTTTTGTGTTTTTGGCCCAGTCTAGCGCAGCCATTTGGCATATAGTCAACACATGTCAACACATGCGAACACGCCGCACCGTGCGTGAGGCAAAACCGGTTGACAAACTGAGCTTGCGTAGCTTGGCTCGTGAACGTCCACGCCTCACCAGCGCAGAACACGCCTCGTGACCCGTCTCACTTCTGCTCAGAGCAAGCGTCGACTTCGCGTTGGTGCGGAAAACAGGAACTGGGAAGGCTGGAACGGTGCATGTGGGTGTGTAAGAACTGGGAGACCTCCTTCGACCTCCCTGGAAGAAGGAAGATAGACTGAGACCCACTGGGTCTGGGAGGCTTTCAATACACACACCCATGTGTTTGTGTGAGAGTTGTAAACTTGCCACCTGCAGGCCCTCGAAGCAGCACAACGACATTTCCGGAAGGATGTCCAGTGACCACTTTGGAATCTTTTTGCTTGGCTGGTGTGCTCATTGCTTGTTGATGACCTTATAATACGCTGCTGTATTTTTTAGTCGATTGAGGCAGGCTGATTACGCATTTGGCTAGATTTTGGCTCAAACTTGGAGGAAACATGGATGATTCGAAAAAAGGCGTTTCACTATGTCAATAGTTTGCAAAAGAACATCTCTCTCTACTTCCCCTTCCTGGTGTACTACCAAATATCATACTACAAGCCACGCCCTTACCTTGCTATGCTCACGGAATTGGAGTAGCGCTCGGAAGTTGTAGCAGGGACTCTGGCGTTTCAGGAAAATTACCAGGAAATCTATGGCTCAAAAGTGGAAATAAAACGTGATTGCATTGCGGAGTCGCTTTGAGTGTATCCTTGTTATGGTCCTTTTGCTTTCCTCGCAAAATGAAGCGCCATTCGTTTAGTGATTCTCTGAGGTCGCCACTGTTTGATATCACTTCCATTGGTGGGTGGCTGCAGCGTGGATTTCCAGCCACTTGGTTTACAAACAGAGAAACGAAAAGCGTCTGGAACATTGACCGCAAGCCGAACCTAAAACATCAAAAAACCAAGTACTGTACGTGTTCTAAAACTTCCAGGAACTAACGTTGTAGGTGGAGTGCGTTCACCCCCTGTTTGGTATTCGGATTTCATGGTCTTCCTTTCGGGGCCATGCCATCCACTGTCCACTTCCAGTTTGGTGATCGAATGAACTGACCGACCACCCAGCAGCTCCCAGCAGAAATGCCTCAGAGCCTCTCCTGTCTCGATCGAGGCAGAACTTGAGGAAGTATTCGGTGACTCCCTGGCCAGTGCGAGGTTGACCCTGAGGGCACTCGTGTCTACAGTCTTTTGCTCAGCTTCCGTTCATGATGTTGTTCACGTGATGTTGTTCGTCATGTCACTCGGACGCGGAAGCTATGCAAGCTGAGAGTCTAGACTTGCGACTGCTTTTTGGGTGCTTGTTTTGAAGTTGTTCGCTTCAGGCTTTAATAGCTGCTGATCCAAATGAACTCTCACCTAGCTCAAGTTGGCTGATTGCAGACTCTCCAGCCGACGATTGGTTGAGCTGCCTACTTGGTTGCTGGTGAAGCATGTCTCCAGCACATTCCGCACCACAAATGAGACCATAAGATCAGATTCACTCATGTTTTTACGCCTGTCCCATGTTCCCTTCAACCGAACCATCAGGTTTAGACTGGCAGAAGGAAGCGACATGCGCGGTGCATCGTGCATTTTGCTGGCCGGTTTTCGGAGCTCCTTGGTTCGTACCGCCTTTTGTTTCTTCGCCACTTGCTCCGCCACCCATCGACAGGCTCGGCAGACTGTTTATGCTCAGGCACTTGCCCTCCTTCGTGACACTGCATGGCATCCTGCGGGATTTTGTGAAGCATGTGCCTGAGTTTTTTCATCCGTCCTTTCAGTTGTTCATCCATGTCGAAGATGATCGTTGCTTGAGGCAGCAACTTCCTTCTCAAATGCCTTGTACAACGCTGTGCAGACAAATGAGGCAAGGCAAAGAATCTCAAACAAGTATGATGAACATCATTGATGTTGCGTTTTCTGTCAACATGTTCGCATTCCTGGCAGGCCGTTCCATTAAAGCAAAGCCTTGATTTTCTTCATGAACCTCCAAGAAGCTGTGGTATGGTCCCTAGCTGACTTATTTTCCCTCACTTGCAAAATGGCGTGTTCCACTCCAAAATCCCTCACGGATTACACTGACATGTGCCGTGCGCAACGCCCTTTATGTGGAGGAAGGTTATATATACGTCATTCATAAGTGCAACATGTTTATTATAGATATATGATCTATATTATATATAGGATAGATACTGTAAGTGAAGTCTGAGACGAGCACACATGGCGCAATCCAAAATATTACAACTGAACTCACAGCTGCCAGCCCTTTTTCGATGCCGCTAGACTATCAAAAGGGTGACCTTTGGCAATATGCTGTGAAGCATGTGAAATCTTGAAGGTGAGCAAGACGCTCGAGTTTTGCGGGCAGCAGCCACTCTGGCGGTGGCTGACTGGGTGCTGGCCTTAGCGAGATAAATCTGCAAGCCTTGCAATGATCAGCATAGCATCACCCGACGTACAAGAAGCGCTTGAAGTCTGAGGCTCGTCGAACTGCAAAAAGAGGCGAGCCTCGCTTCCCCTATCACTCAGTGAACTGCAATTCTGTGTTGGGGTTAAGTCGTGACAACTGCAGGTGTGCAGTCAGTAGAAGAGGAAGTTCAAGATGCAGTAGCCACTGCCGGGTACATCAGATGAATACGTTGAACAGAGAATGACAAGCACTTCAGGGGGCAAGAAACTAGAGCTTCTTTGAAGGTCCTGGCATGCTGCTAAGCCCAGGGTTGTCCTCTCACCGAGGCCTATGCACTCGTTTCGGAAGTGTTGGAAGGCCGGGGGGTTTGGATTGTCCTTCTCTCTTCTGCAGATCAAAAAAAACGTGCTTTTCAGGTGTATCCAGGTGAAAACCCACGTTTTTGATCGCGTCGTTGGGGTGATTGTTGGGGGTCGTGACCGCACCTGTTGGTGACCGAGGCGAGGGCGGCGGCCCATCCTTCCTGGGCCTCCAAGCGCTGTCAATGCTCCCCGGTGGCTCCGAGCTCTTATGGATCCTTGATAGGCAGGATCAGTCCTAAACCTGCGAGACTGAGGTGAGCATAGGTGAGCTAGGTTAGCTAGGTTAGCTAGGTTCGTTTCGGGCCAAAAAAAACTCATCCGTGGATATGTGTGACTCTAGTTTGCCTGAAGGAATGTGACTGAGGCCTGTAATCGATTTGGCTCCATATGCCTTGGTTTCGAATTGGTCGATTGGACCGCAACAGCTCACAGAAGCCAAATCAGGCTTCAATGTGCCCCAGTTGTCAGCATGACAGCACAAGCTCATGAGTTCTGGAAAGGAGCCGGATTCTTAGAGTCCAAAACTCGAGTGTGCTTGTATGATCTCCTGTGGAGACTATACTGTAGGGACGAATTCTGTCGACATGTTGTTTTGCAAGCCGTCGATGTGGGCCGTCGTTGGAGAAACAAGGCAGAAAATGTGGGAATGAAGAACGACGTTGAGATCAACTACAAGCTGTCCATTTTTCCCTATAGGGAATTGGTGTCAGATTTTGTGCGAGCTCGTCAAGTACCATATTGCAATGTACCTCTGGCATATTGCAATTGATCTTTAGCTTGTATTGGGAGTTATTGGGTTCTCGAGGGAGTAACACCAGTGAACCACTGGAGACCTTGCTGACAGAGGACTCAGAACACAAGACTGCAACAAGATGCATCCAGGTTTTTTATTTTTGTGCTTATTTATATGTATTGTTATTAATATATGTTCTATGATGAACTGGAGGACCTACCTTCTATACTCTCACCCTTTTCAGACTCGAGTCTCGACACGTTCCGTGGCGATGCTGCAAGAACTGCCTAAATGGCAGAGCTGATGTGAACTCACTCGCCTCGTCTTCGCCCACGGGTCGCCAGGAATCGATTCTGCAGCTGGTGCAAGCTTTAGCCCGACGTTTGGACCACTCGAACGCGCGCTCCGTTGGGGGAACCTGTCGGAAGTGACGGAGTGTTGACCGGAGCGAACGACATCGAACGACCGAGCGACGGTGCCGAGGTCCAGGTCATTGAGATCGGTGCCAATCTCGGTGACTGCGCCCTGTGGATCGTGAGGGGTCCCAGAGGGTCCCAGAGGGTCCCAGAGTAGGGTCAGACTTGCAGGTTCACTAGTACAGCCAGATGGCCGAGCATTGGTTGGATGGGGTCGGAGACGTTTGGCACAAAGAAATCGTATGCGGTTTTGGATGGTATCAACATGTATTAACATCCAATTGCAAGGTAAATGATATTGGCTATTGGATGCTATTGGTGTGTGTGTGTGAGAGGTGTGTGTGTGTGTTGAGTCACAAGCCTTTATCGAGAGAAGAGAAGACGGAGACAGACCAGGCGAGGCGCATGCAAGCAGTGCCCGGACTTCGGCGCATCAAGGCATTTGGTAACGTGTGTTTCAGCGTGTCATACTGTAAGGCTTGTTTTCTGGGTTCTCTCCAAACTAATGTGACCACAATGGATTCCATGTTTCATTTGCTGTAGTCTTCTTCACAAACACATCAAAGACATGCCCTCCCAAAAGGGCCCCTGGACCCCTGGGCCAAAAAGGTGACATCATGAAACAACGAAAGCAGAGTTTTGGGGATGTTTTTGGCATCCGTTGCTTTTTGGTGGCCAGCCCTTGACTCACGGTGTGCCCAGAATTTGGCAGTGGAGTCCTAGGCCTAGGTCTAATCACTAGCGACCCGCAGGTGATTGCCTTGGAGGCAGTGCCCGCGGCGGCGAGGAGGTTTGAAGAGTCGGTGCAGTTGAACAACCTCTCCGGAATCATCCAGGCGCGGGCGCAAGCGCAACGTGCGGCCGCGTGGGGAGCCTGCCGGAGCTCCCAGGATTTGTTCTTTTGTGTGTTGAAATGCCTTTGGGAGCTATCCACATCGGAGATGCTAGATCTTCCCTCCTGCTTGGTGTCTGCATGTTTCTGCAACGTGAATGATAAAGCAAACATTGTAAAGGGGAGCTGTAGCATCATTTCTTCCAATCTAATTGTTTTTCTGCCTGATGCTATATACATCTACGACAGGCACAGGTTTCACAGATAAAGCGACGTCATTTATATCCAGATTTATCTCCCCGTGTTCAGGTCGTCAATGTTGCAGCGGGGCAAGTGAGCGGGTCTGTAAGTCTGCGAGCCAAGCCGATGAGCTCCAACTCCTACACTTTGGTGAATGATGAGGCTCGGCAGGCTCTACACAGTGAGATCGCTTTTCCGCTTCTTTGATCAGTCTGAGATAAATAAAGGATGATAAGGGATGCATGTTTGCTCCCTGGTCCTATTTTTCGGATCTATGCCTTGGGAGCTCAATTGTGGATCGAATGTCCTTGTGCAAGGGCTCGGCAACCGATTCTGCTGCTCCGACATGTTTGAGACACTGTGGGCGACATGGATGCGGATGCAAATGTTTTGTTGCCAGGCAACGGTTCCAACCAGAGCGTTGGATGATTTGCTGGACGGGAGCTCCCAGGTGGACTTACTCATTAGCCATACCAACGGGTCCCCAGCTTAGACCGATCATTCCAACATCTCAACCGCGGAGGGCGCGCGGCTCCGCGCTCCGCTCAGTTCGTTCGAACCGTTTCTCCTCCAGGCAAGAGTTGTCGGTGCTGCGGGGAGCCACGCGTCTCCTACGGCACTCACGAAGATTGGTGGTTCTGCTTCAGCTTTACGGCACCTGGGACCAAGATCAGAGGTCCCCACGAGATAGCTTGGTCCAACCAGAACATGTAGGAAGAAGTGAGGTAAACCCATTGGTTGGCTGTGTTTCGGAGGTCTTTGTTCTGTCAAGCACGCTCTTTGGCGTTCTGCTTGTCACCGTTCTGCAGGTCCGCAATCGGGCGTCATCCGTGATCCCAAGTATGATGCAAGCAGACCCGTGAGGTGGCTGGCAAACAGAGGTCAGAACCCCAGTGAAAGATGGGTCAAACTTGATCAAAACATCTTCAAAACGCCTTCCGTCCCAGTCCCACGCCAAGTTGTGTGACTCATGTGACTCGTTTCGGTCACCGATCAGTTGCCGTGGAAACGGCCTGTGACACGCCCGAGGCTTCAGGATTTGGCTGTCACAGCGTAAAGGCCTGCGCTTGGAGACCCCGGGTGTCCTGCAACGCCACTTCAAAGAGGGGGAGCAAGTGGTGAATGCAGAGAACTCAGATGAAGTACCTGAGTGGTAAAATGTGCTGCATGGAACTTGGAACGTTTGGAACTTGCGATCAGGTGATTGCCATTCGAAAGCATCAGAGGCCAAAAAATTGTACCGGCTTCGGCATCAGTGATCGTCATTCACTCACATTCACTTCCGCCAAAAAGCACTGGTTGCACATTCTCGGTTGAAGGCATCTCCTCAGTGCACCTCCGCCGCGGCGTGTTGCCCAGCGGACGTGTCTCGACCTCGCCCGCGGCGAACGGCCCAATAGTTGGGCTGAGGCGAGTGCCGATCACTTCGATCTTCGGCCATTTCAGACGCTTCCAGAGCTCATTCACGAGCTCATTCACGTGGATGCGCTGAGATTTGATTGCTACAAATCTACAAATCAATACAAATCACATTAGCAATTACTGTAGCAGCTATATATATTATATATAATATTATATATATATATATATGCGCAGCGGCCCTAGCATTCCATACCCTACAGAGGGTCTTCAAATAGGTGATCCTTAAATGGATGAGAAGCATGGTGACCCCCCCCAAAAGAAGCATAACTCCTCTTGACACATGGGGTCGTCAAGAGACCTGGTCTGGGTCTCTTCAGCTTCTCCACCTGTTAAGGCTCGGCTCGTCTCCAGGTGGATGGCCGAGTTCTCAGGGAGAATCTGCATGTGGTGCGGACCTCGACGGGGGGACCATCCTTCGAATCGGTGTGTGTGTGTGTGAAGACGTCTGAATGTTCGACAAAGCAGGAGGTGTAGACGGTAAATAATGTCCACAAATCCCCCCGAAGCTTGAATGAATGGGTTGGTATAGTATATGTTGGTACACTCCAAAGTGAAGAGAAGATATACCATTTACACTCCATCTTCCCTTATGAAATCAAGCGAACAAAGAGGCTTTGGAACACAAAAGGCCACTCATTCACCGGATCGGTCCCCGGATCGGGTCCCCTCGGCTCGGGTGCTCGCTATCGGCTCGGCTCGAGGTTCGGATCTACTTGGAACGGCACTTCGGAGTGGCACCGCCCATCGGTGCCGTGCTGAAGGCGCTGGGCTTCGGTTTGGAAGGGGAGCGAAGGATGGAGCGAAACTGATTTCAGCGCTCTGTCGATATGTTTTTTTTGAAAACGTTTGCGCATGTGAGGCAAATGCCTATGGGCATGGAGCTGTGTTGGCAGGCAAAAGAGAGATCTGAAGAGATTGAGTTTAGGGACCAATCAGAAGATTCATTGCTGAAAGTAACAAGTCATTACAAGTCACATGCTTTTGGGGAATTAAGACGCATAGATACTCTCTTTCTTCTTTGACACAGGGTTAGTGACCTTTTTGGGGGTCACCAATGTCCCTCGCCTCGAGGCCGAGTTCTGGCATCCGCCAGGATTGACGCGCTCTTTGTGTCTGAAATCGAGACGGGGCCAGGACCCTGGGGGACCGACTCAAGGCGACGAAGTGTTCCAGTCCTGGTAAGGTTGATGTTGCGAATGGCACCAGAAGTTGCAAGCTGAGGGAAGAGTGTAGGAGTTGTGAGGACACTAGATCTAGATATCAGAATAGGCCGGCATCATGTCCATATACATGTTTCTTCTTGCGGTCTTGCTAGAGAAAGGGATTTAAGAGGGTCTGTGGTGCTTTATTTTTTTTCCCCGGACTCGCAAACTGGTGCCACTCTTTGATTTACGGAGATGAACAGCACAGCCGAGGTGCCCACGTCTTTGCCTGTGATCTTACTGTACCGCTCACCTGATGAAATCACCACCTGCAAGTTAGCAAACGCCACGCCGACGCCAGTTATTGAAGGCACAAACGTGCTGCATTGAAGATTACTGTGCCAGGCCAACATCACCGTGTCTCTCCTATCCATGGCCTGGCTCAAGCAGGATTGGAGAGATTTTGCAGGGGGTTGGCTATATGAATTGGAGAGAAAACACCTACCGCAGGCATTGATGTGGCAATCTTGCAGCGCAAGGCTCAGGTGGACTCACAGACTCCACTTGTATCCTTCATCGTTTTGCTCTCCCTTCTGTCAAAGGGGTTTGAAGAACATGCGCACCAGATTTGTCAATGTTTATCTCCAGGCTTCACATGATGATGGACACTGGTTTGAATAGAGAAGGCCTCGCGATTGAGGAGGTCACCGAAGCAGCAGAGATTCTTCTCAAAGAATGGCCTCGCTGGTCACTGGAGGGTTTTTATACACATTGGTGCTGCGTGCCCGAGACTCAGTGAGGCTTCAAGGGAAGGGTCACCACGAGGTATAGGAGCTCTCAGGCTTGGCTATGGCAAGCGGACAGAATAACATTTCAACATCCAAAGCAGTTCGTTCTCTTATGTGCTGGTGCACATGATGACACATGTCGTCACATGCGACATGTGGTCACATGAGCTGAGAAAATTACACTTGTTTTGGCCAAGAAAATACACCAAAAACACCCGTCCTCCAAGGTACGACGTGGAAGAAATGCATCGCTCGTTGGCACGCTTTGAGCAAGGGCTCGCGCTTGTCGAGGCGAAAAACGGATGTTATTTTAAGGAGATCATTCAGAGCGTTCTGATTTTGGGAGATCATTTGTTTTTGGGTTCTGATCGTTTTGGATGTTTTGGCAACAAGGTGCTAGCCGCTAGCCGACCCGTTATTGTGACTCAATCCTAATGCATCAGGATATGCACCACAGGTATGCGGCATGCGCCCAAATGTCCCGCCCAGCCAATCCAAAATGTCCCGCCCCCCAGCCCCCCAGCTTTGGCTTTAAGGAGCTCCGGAGGTCTCCGGTCGCTCTCAGCTGCCGATCGGCAGGAAGTGAGAAGAGCGATCGGAGGAGATGCAACGACATGTCCTTTGACGGCTCGCCACTCAGGATCCTTCTGCAGGGATCGTTTTGCAGCAGAGAGCACACTAGCGAAGAAGAGGATGATGTGGGCCGATGCGGGCGTTTTTGTGGTTGTGGAATGGAGTTTAAGGTTCACACCTCGAGCAGCTCAAGTGTGCTATTTGGAGTCCATTATGAACCATCCTTAGAGTTTCGTGAAGTTGCCTGTAGTTGGGGAGTTGGGAATTGCAAAAAGTTCTAGAGTTATATGTAATTATAACAATATATTATACTCACAAAACAAGCCATGAACTGCCATCAGCTGCACAGCATGGGTCAGAGGGCGGCCAAAGCATTGGTACTTGTAGGTCTATGAGCCAAATGAGATGAGATGCTCATCATTGCAGCAGCTTCTACATGACGTGCTTCCAATGACCAGCAACACTTCCACTCAGGACCTCCTCCGGCTGGGGGGTTTGCTGTTTGGAGATCCCGTGGCCATCTCAGATGGTACCGGAGGTTCTGTGAGATTGCCAGGGTCTGAAGCTGAGCTCCCAAACTCCAAACTCCAAACTCAGACACCCAGCGAAAACGTCCGGGAGCGAAAACGTCCGCGGACGAGAAAGAAAGACCGAGACATCGACCGCTCAGCTCGGCTGGTTTCGAAAAGGCCACACAGAACACTCCTTTGGAAAAGCAGCATTACGGCACTACGTCCGACGCCCAGAAGATGCATCGAGGTGGTCGATATCTGGTTTGGCCGATCGAGTCGCAAACCGACGAATCGAGTCGAGTCGACGAATCTGCAGGCTGGTCTGTCCCTGGAGAGCGCTTCTCCAGGTGTACAGCCTCTTCTGGATGTGCCCGTGGTCCGATTTTCGACCGACGACTTTTGCTTGGTATCATTCCAGTGCGCAGACCTGGCAGACCTGAGCCACATGGTCAAGCTGAGAGGGTTGTCAGTTGGGTAGATTGAGGTGGGAGCATATGAATTCAGTGATTCCAACATCGTCAGCAGCGCTCATCTCAGCCTAGTTGGGTTCATTCTGGTCAGTTGCAGTAGAGACCCGTTACAAATATTATCACAGGCTGGCTTGAGACCGAGGTCAGTATCGAGAAAAGTTAGTCCTGCTCGAGAAGTCAACAGACCCTGGGTGCAAACTACACAAATAGACTTCTTCCAAATCTTGGCGCATTTCAATGCATTTCAGACATTTTCAGATGCACCGACGGCGCGTTCCAGTAACTTAAAAGCTCGTTCGAGCTTAAGCTCGCGCTCGTTCTTTTGAGGATTCAATCCTGGTCGAAATTCCTGCTACCTCACGCACATTTCATGAAGCATTTGAAGGGATGGAGGTGGGCAGGGACGATGCCGACCTTTTTTGGAATGAAGAGGATGACCTCTGGTCCTCTCAGTCGTGTGGAGATTGAACCGATGAAATCAAACCACGAATTCATTCGACATGTAACCTACATCAATCATATCTACCTGTTATACCCAACAAGATATTTAAACGTTGCAACCCACAAGATATTTAAAGGTTGCAAGGATATTTGAGCGTTTAGCTTTTTGCTCATAGCTGTCGACGTTCGTTAGCTCAGGTGCTTTTATGCGCTGAAAACTGCGTGCAGGGGCTCTTCAATGTTCCAGAGCTGCCAAGCTGCATTGTTTTTCCAGGCCCTTGCGGCACCTTGCTGCAGAATCATGCTGTGTGAACAATTCAACAACAAAAAGTGGGCATATATCCGAAATCCGAGGCATGTTCCTCGGATACTGGTGCAAGATCCGCTCGGAGCCTAGGACGCCCCATGCATGCTGGTTGTGTCCTTCAATCAACAGATGCAGATGTGAAGCTTTACTCTCCGAACCATTCGGAAGTCAGCTCATGATGGGACACAGCGAGAGAGAGAGAGAGAGAGCGAGCATGGGATTTCGCCGAGGTCAATCGAAGCACACATTTACTGTCCATTTGACGCACGGGTTGTTCGCACAAAACAAGATGTTTCACCCAGGTCCAGTGTTGCTAATACGCAACAACTGCCTTTTCCTCCAGGAACAGAATATGAAGGGCGTGGAAAAGCTGTAGCTGTTGGTTTCTTCATTCCACAGTTGAAACAAAGGTTCCACATGGTTCCACATGGTTCCACACATGGAGAAGGGCCTGTGTGGTTGAAGGTACGCTCCGTCAGGAGATACCTTCTATCCGGTCGAATTGAACGGAGCTGTACCTACCTGAGAAGCATCGCTGTGTCGCATCGCGTTTCCCGAGGTCTCTCTGAGTTGCAGACACACAGAATCCCAACTTATGTTAGCTAACCCCTCCAGATTAGCTTGTCCTGCAGGGACGAGCTTTGGCGCTAAGGTCTTCGACTCCTTCAATTTGCGTGTTGTCTTTGAGAGGGACAAGACAGGCTTTGAAGAGAGCAAGGCACCTCCAGACTGCAGCGGTGTTTCTTGCACACTCCAGACTGCACATGCTTGATCCCAATCCCTGCACGCTGACTGCATTTCTGGCGAGGAGTTCCCTATCCGAACCAATACGGTCGTAGCCGCCAGGCCGACAGGAAGAAATCCGGATTGGTATGGATCGTGTGAAATTGGGTTCTGGAACATACCTTACATGTTCTGGAACTCACTTTGTTCTGGCATGTTCTGGAAGGTATCAAATAATTGAATACCTTGGCTCTGCCGCATTCTCGAGAGCGGTGCAACTCTCAGCGAACCGCTGCAGTCGGTGGGAACGCGCTCGGTCACGGTCACAGAGTGTTTTTGACGTCTGACAGGTGCAGTGCTTGGACTTGGACACAAACAGGATGGTATGCATGAAGATTATCAAGAATGATAAGGACATCACAACAAATCAGAGGTTCAAACGTTTAAGCGGCCGAGGTTTACTGTTGTACTCACTTTCTGTCCGCAGGATTTTTTTGACCAGTCGCTGGATGAGATCAAGCTGTTGAAGTACATCAATGTCAATGGCAATGTGGACGAGCAACATGTCTTGCGTCTGGGTCTTGGATCGGCAGCGCGCACCGCGCACAAAGAGAACTGGAAAACTTGTTTCCGTCCACGGTTCAGGAGCGTCAGGGAACTTGTGATTCCGTACGTTTTGCATTAAGCTTTCGGATGATCCCTTTCCTTTCATGCTCGCAAGAGTGGTGAGAAAGCTGCTGACTGCGCGATTTGGCCAATTCGCAGATTGCTTCCCATGGTCGGCATGCTTTCGTCTTGTACGGTTGGGGGGGGGGGACCGGGGGACCTCCCCCTAACAAAACTGGGCGTGTTCGTTTGGTTTCCGGTTTTTTCCACTCTTTTCCCAGAGGGTCGTCCCTATTCCAAAACACCGTTGACGTTGGAACCGTTCGATGGATGATCCGGTCACTCGCATGTTTGACGCGTGGAAAACACACGGGGACGAACGGAAACAGGATGTTTAGGCTCGGACCTCAATTTTGGTTATACTGATTCAAATATGTTATGCAGCTGTATTGAGGTTTTAAACTCAATCAATCGGATTTACACTCGCATTGCTCATCTCTCTAATTACTTAGAATCCTGCTACCAGACATTGAGTCTTTGGATGCTATGTAAGTTTTTGACTATTTGGGTGCTGTTGCCTCCCACGTCAGACATCCTGAGGTCTTTATGATCACTTTTATCACAAGGACCGGTTCCGTGTGGCACAGGACGGCTTCGCTGGCCGAGCTGCCCATTGCGCCATCAGGAGCACCTGATTATTGTCACCGAGCTGCTCCGGGACAACCTGTACGAATTTAGTAAATACAATCGTGAATGCGGCCACTTGGATAGTAAATCACCATGGAATCACGGTCGAAGGAGAAAACCTGTGATTCTTAGCTGCCAATGGTTCTTGGTTGGCTTTCCAGGTGATGAGCCATATTTTACCATGGGTCGCCTACAAAAAATCTCCAAGCAGGCGATTGAAAGAGCGATTTGAATCCAACCTTGCTTCCACACTCACTTTTGCAAGGAAAGTTTGTTGCCGCGCTCCTTCAACTGATTCGGGGGAAATGAATCCTGGACTTTTCTTGAATCTTCAATTGTATAATATAACACACATAAATGTACACTATGTTTGAAATGTATCTATGCATCATTGATCTTTGCCAATTGTTGAACCTTCCGTTTGGTAGAGTGAGACGGCGGTTGGTTCGTTGCGCCTGCCAGATCTTGACCGCCTTGGAGTACGTTCATTCCTTAAGACTGATTCATTGCGACTTGAAACCTGCCAGAGCCTCAGTCGCTTCGACCGAGCCGCTTGCTCCGCTGAGCCGCACTCCGTCGGTCCGGCGTGCCGAACGAACTGCTTGGGCACCAACCGCGTTTCGCAATGGAGCTGGAGTTGCGCGCCAGTTTGGCGTTTTGGTGGCATCTTGTGGCCAGTTTGGGCCTCTGTTTGAGAGCTGAATGAAACTGGCCATTTCTGGAATTGTGGGCGAGTCAAGAATGGGGATGAATGGGGACGGGAACAGCACACCTAACGGGAACAGCTCATTGAAACCTCCGGGCCCCGACGACACCATCCCTCACTTGTTGCTGGGGATGTTGGCGTCCCGACAGGCATCCTGACTGGGTTCCCCGCTCTCAGGAGAACATCTTGATCAAGTCATACAGCAGGTGCGAGGTCAAGGCACCCGAATGTGTTGGCGGTCAAGACACCTCAAGTTCACGGTACGACGCGTTGCCTGGTACGTTTTCTGAAAAGCACAGGTCTGGTGCCGAGCTGTGCAGGTCATAGACTTTGGCTCTTCTTGCTTTGTGGACGATCACCTTTCTTCATATGTGCAGTCAAGATCATATCGAGCACCCGAGGCGGGACATGGGTAGAAGGGGTAAAGACTGACTCATTGCTCGCGGTCTTTTGATCCGCGCAGGTGATGCTGGGTCTTCCCTATGATCAGAAAATTGATCTTTGGTCTTTGGGCTGTATCATTGCGGAACTTTGGACAGGCACAGTGTTGTATTCATCACTGCCTATGCTTCCATGGCGTCCACCTGCAGGTTACGTTCTTTTCCAAAATGATTCGGTTGCACCCTCAAGCCCAGAAAAGCTCAATTCACTCGTGCTTTGCCTGTTGGCAGCTCCACTATGGCTCGATTCTCTTGAAGTTGTGGAGGTGCAGAGCTTACTGGCTCGCATCCTGGGAATCATCGGTGACTTCCCGCTTCGACCTCAGCAGCTTGCCATGGCACAGGAGCTATGGCATCGTGCATGAGTCGTCGGCAGGTATCATCTGATGACGAGTGGCAAGTATGTGCCGCAGTACTTCACTCAGGACCGGCAGTACTTCACTTGACATGTTTTGGAGCAGAGCATGTAGTTCTCCGAGTTCGGGGCAGAGAATTAAAGCATATTAAAGCTGTGAATCAGCCGTTTTGGAGCCGTTTGGCTGGTAGGATGGGCAGCTGTACCAAGAAATTGAGGGGCAACCGTGCCCAGAACGCGGACGTCGTTTGCATCTTCTGGTGCCTTGTTTGCACCTGACTTCAGAAACTGGTGCGACTCTTTCATATCGTATTCTACTCTTAATGAGAATATACGCAACGAAAAAGACACATGGAGAAAAGCAATTATATAACCTGCCCGGACCACCCTTTAGCCGGACCGCACCTACTGAGTTAACTGAGAATCCATGAGAATCCCAAAGCACTCGCCCCGAACGGCTCCGAAACCAGCGGAAACGGCCAAACCCCGATCCTTCGACCAGAGGTCATTCAGTCAGTTCCGACAGAAACGGTTGCAGTGGAGTGTATAGATTTTGACTGTAGACTGTATAGACTAGAACATGTAGAAAGATCCCACCTTTTCTGCCCTCGAGACTTAAGGTGGTACAGGGTCTTGGAGTCTTGTAGAACTGACGTAGCCGTAGAATGAGAACGAAGTTTCTAAGCTTTTGCGGGAAGAAAAGAACGAAGAAATCACTGCGCCAGGTGCCAAAGAAGACATCACTGCGCCAGCGAATGCGTTTGCTTCCTAGTCTCTGTGGATCTCCAGAGGTCATGACCTGAAAAAACACAGACTCAGGAACGGAGGATGAGGTTTTTCTCGACTTCCTGACCCAGTTGCTGCAGTGCGCCCCACTCGCTGAGTTCGTTCTTGCCCTTTGAGACCTCCTGCGGAGAACGAACCACTATAGGCTGGATCCAACGAAGAGACCAGGTGCAGCTGAGGCCCAGCACGGCTTGTTTGGGTATTTGTTTTAAGGTTGTTTTCATTAATATGGCCTGTTTAATGGGTTTTCAACGTTTTAGTTTTTTTTTCTTTTTTTGCCGTTTGGTTTGCCACAACATCCACGTTTTGCGGAGGCTTCACAACATCCATTCCTGGCTCCGGGCAGGCATCGAGTCATCCCGCGTGCTGTCGGACGGCTTTGCCGAGCCGTCCCACGTGCCATCGCAGGTACCAGGATGGGCTGTGAGATGCGGCGTGCACGTGTACAAAGAGCCGGCAGAGATATACACGTGTACACCGTACATGTTGCCATGTTGCATCATGTTGCATCTGTATACTGGAGGAGTACAGTAAGATCGTCTGCAGAGATGACCAACATGACCTGCCGAAACGATCAACTACGTAGCAGTTCGAAGGACCCAACTAGCAACTAGCAGAGACGTTTTTCGGTGTGGTTTGCGACTCGTGCGACTCTCGGCCAATGCATTGGATCCCAACCTTTGGGAGCGCTTTGCTCAATTCAAGCATGAGGCAGCTTACATGTGTTGAGGTTCATAGCTCTAGTATGCTCTAGTTGCAGTGGGAAGGAGAAAAGTTAAGCGAAGTGGGTCAGCTCATGCTTCCTTCTTGCGCGTCTTGGGGTCTTAGACGCCGAGAAGTGCAGAATCTGCCATAGTTGATGATAGCACACTTGTGGACAGCTCGCAGCTGTACCCCGAACATCTCATGTTCGTGTCAGGGTTCACCCCGAGACGTGCTAAAGAAGACCCCGAACCGGCACACGGCCCTCGCAGAATTCCGGACTTCACGGAGGATGCAGAGATGCTTTCCTGGGTCAGGGAGACTCAGTGCCGACCGCACGCAAGCCGCAAGCCGCTTTCGCGTCCGCAAACCGCGCGTTGGAGGCGGGAGTCGGGCTTGGAGGAGCCGAATCCTTCCAGGCGTTGGAGCGAAGAAACGAAGACAAAGTCAACGAACGAAGCGGAAAGAAGTGTAAAGCAGTGTTGATATTTAAAAAAAAAATATATATATATATATAAATATACATGTATTGCAACAGCCAGCATGGATGAGAGATGATAAGAGAATTTGCATGGAATTGGATGGAGGCCCTTTCAGAATACTGTGGCCTTTCTTATGTTTTACATATCGAACATCTTGTGCAGGTGATGTGCTCTTTGCGGAACCTGGCTGCCAATCAAAAGGATGGCCTTAACAAGCTGAGATTCTGGGGCAAGGCTGGACACGGACACACGGGACTCGAAGGGTCGAAGGGCCGAAAGCTCCAGGTTCTTGGAACGGAGGCAGACTACTACGTTGCAGAGGCCGCGACTGACACGTTCGACGGCGCTTTTTGTGTATGGCTCCAAGCCGGAGTTGGGCTGTGCATGTCCGGACAGGCACAGCGTGATGGCGGTGATGAGGATCCGGATCCAGATGCAGATCAACCTGGCCTAAAGCTTAAACTTGGACTTCTTCGTCATGTTACCTGATTCATCTGTCACTCCACTGTACATTCTCAGTGGTTTCAGGGCAAGTGATTTGTGCAGGTCAGGGAGCAAATCAGTTTACCTACTATGTGACCAATGACTTGGCCGGGGCATGGCGCAAGTTGCCAGATATCAAGCCCAAGGAGGCGCATGTCTTGCACGATGGGATTGAGCATGTTGTGAGAATTAATGTCTCTACCAGTTAGTTGCAGCTAGATGTTTAGATGCCCCAAAAAGGATTTGCCAGGTCCCAAGAAGAATATGTTCAAAGACTCAAAGACCAGCCACTGCTAAGAGTTGGTGGATTTTTTTCCATCGATGCCAATCAGAACACCTCAGCACTGGGTTTGCCTCAAACCAGTACGATCACCGGGTCACATAAATATCATAAATGTATATTCAGGGGAGTGTACCCCCTAAAAAAGATGTATTTCCTGGTCTCCAAATTTCATTCCCGGGGTACAAATTTATACCTCATTTTTCTTGAGCACGAGGTATCCAGAGAGCAGCTCCAGCCCAACACAACAGGACCACCAAGCTTGCCTGTCAGGCTCTGTCCTTTAAGACTTTCTTCAAGTGGGAAGTGGTGTCGAAGTTGCTTGCTTAAGGCAAGTTTGTAGTCTTAGTCTTAGCCGGGCTGCCCTTGCTGGATTGCCCAGATTGCAATCAGTCGAACTCAGAGAGGAGTTTCGTCTGGATGCGGTCAAGCACAGAAGCTGGCCTTTCTAGTATTCTTCCGCGAAGAAAAAGAAGAATGAAGAATTGGAAGCCATGTCTGTTTGTTGCGTTGGGGGGAGTACTTGCAGCAAAAACCATTCAGGCTCACCTTCTGGATCATTACTTTGCGATCGCAATCTTGGCTTTACGATCTTGGGCCAAAGATTCCTGGCCAAAGAGTGGACAGTTCTCAACCCCCTGCTGCGTACCAGAGTTTCGGATCCCCAATCTCAAGAGGGAGGGGGTCTGGCATCTAGCGTTGCATTGGAGAGGGATACGGGTGCGCTTGAGCAGAAGCGCAGGTTTAGTCTATTGAGTATATTGTGTTTTGCTTTGATCTTGTGGAGCCATGAAGCTCGTAGAAGATCACCAAGAAGAAGCAAAAAGATGACCTGACCCAACATGTGGGAAGTTACCAGGCCCCAGGCAAGAGGAGGATGGTAGACAAGGAACAGCTTTGCAGTGTGAACGGGTCGGAAAGACATCAAAAATTTAACCGCAATGCCTTGACATGCCAGCTAACGGAGCATTGGAAACACAGGCCGGCCGCCAGCTAGAAGCTTTTGACAGCCAAGAAGGAATCCATGAAGCGGCCCGCAACCGTTGTAAACAACGCTTCTATATTGTTTTCAAAGCCACCCGGAACTTGTTAGGCTCGCCATTATGCAGTGTTCGGGGCGGGTGAGAAAGGCGGAGCCAAACGTCAGGCCGCACAGTCGCAACTGGGGATTGCTCTGTCTCTTAGGCCAGCGACGCGGCCCTGAATCTGTGTGGGTTGGATGCCACGAAGGGTTTTTCGCCCACAACGGCCAAGACGCCCGTGACCCTTGACATGAACCAAAACCTTTTTTGCACAGCGAAGCAGGGTGTTTCGCTTTTTTGTTCCTGTAGAGGGCGTGGCCCAAAGGCAGGACGCGGGAAGCTTTTTTTGTTGTAGCGTTCTAGCTTCTGATACTTCCATGTGGGGACCTGGCACGACGGGAAGTTTCTCGCTGCAAGCAGCAGAAGAGTTTTGGTGACCAAGCCATGTCTAGGAGAGTGCAAAACGACTGCTTGCCTCAAGTGGGCAAGCTATTCAATCGTTTGACCCGTCAGAGCAGCCCTCGCCTGCACGATGTTTCAAAGAGCAATGCCGTAGGTAAAAGGAAAGCCACAAGTCTATAGCGAGAGTTGGTCACCTTTTGGACGCAACCTCAGCCACTGAGTATTTGACGAGGCGGCGCGAGGCCGCCCTGAAATATTCCAAGACGGGCGGTGGAAACAAGCGTACTTGCCAACTTTCTTTTTGCGCTGTCGTAAGAAAAAAGCGGTGGCCTGCTTGAGTTGAAGTCGCCGGCGCAGACTGTAGTAGCGTCGCGCAAAATGTGAAAATGCGACCTTGAATCCTAAACGGAGAATCTACCACCTTGAAAAATGTAACCACGGCGTTTTAATCTTTGATAACTCTTTTTGCTTTCAAAAGTCTTGGGCTTCCCATGCCAGAAGCAAAATTGAATCGCTGTTTAATCACGCTGCTCCGAACCTTGCGAGCAGTCCTGCGATTCTCCACGTTGCAAGCCACTGTGAACAGCGACTCCAAAAATGTAATTGCAAAGTTTACCAAAACGCTACCCAAAAATGTAACTTGCAACGCACGGTGATCAAAAAGGGCAACCCCAAAATGTAACACGGAAATCTAAAAATTGTAACTGAATTGTAAAGTTTCATCTTTTGTATCTTTTTAAGCCGAGAATGTAACGGGGAGAAAACAGTCGCGCAAAAGCAATTGCAAAAATCTATCTGCAGAAGTGGCCCGCTGGGCGCGAGCAATTTTCTATTTCTCTTCAGTCTGCCAGACTGCAAGAAATCGTTGCAAAATTTCTCCTGGGTGCTTCGCGGGCTGTACTCTAGTCAAGGTAGCTCAGTATGACAGAATCACCACATGTTTTTTTGCGCTCTCTTGCGCAAGCTAAGCTGAAAATTGCAACCCAGGAGATTGTCTCATCTTGGTGCGCTTGCTTGTTTTGTATTGGCTGCCTAGTGGGCAAAAGGCTCCAAGCTGCAGTTTCCTACGCGAGCGCCTTCGGCAATTTTGGCAATTCTGTGCGGCAAGCTCCGTTCATATCGCAAAAGCGTAAAATCAAATTTCCTAGTTTCATTCTTTGCGAATTTTGTATCATGTTTAATGGTTTTTCCTTGTTTACAGAGCGTGCATGTGTCCGACGATTTCAGCGCTCGAGGATTGTTTGGAGAAAGTGCAACGCATCACTGACACTGGGGAAGACCCTGGCCCAGTGCGCAGAGCTCTTGGACGGGAGTTTGGAAGACACGCTCCTCGTAGCGTGGAAGGTCAGTCGATTTTGAAGAGCTACCACACGCTGTGGCCACCCTTCACGCGTAGGACCTGACAGCCGACCCAATAGGCAGTGCTGAGTAACGCTGTGGCACAACGGCGCGAATGCTCTTCAACTTGGGCGGCGGCGGCGGTTCTTTGCGTTAAAGCTGGCTCTCAACAAGGAAGTTTTGCCATAGTTCGCGGCGACCGGACAACGTGCTTGCAAACGCACAGGTATACCTTGGTCTGCGCCGGCGACGATGGGTGATTACACGCAACTCAGCAAATAACGCATTTTGACGAGTTTAACGATGAGAGTTGCTGGTTTTTGTAAGGACAGAGCTAGCTGGAGGTGCGGGAAGGGCGAGTTCACCTTTCTGTCTTCCCTGCAGAAGAGAAAGCTGCCCCGGAAACGATTGTAAAGTGTGGCGGCGCTTGCCAAGTCTTCAAATCCGCGCCCACGATGTGGAGGTCAATGCGCAGACGCGCCAGGCATTCTCGGCAGCCTCCCGTGGCAGTCGCTAGGCTGCTACTGCGCTATGAAATGAAAAGGGGCACATGAGGGCGGTTACGTGTTTGCAAGAGTTGGGATGAAGTTCCTTCTTTAGACCCGCGCCCCAACAATACACCAAGATACAAAATAACGTGAAGGTCTTGGCTCGCTCCATTGTAGCTCGCGCGGCCAGCCGGATTGGCCGCGCAAGCGGACGAATGAGCTCATCCGCCCAAAAGTTGGCCCAGTGCTCATATATTGACACCAAAGTCGTCATTGTAGATGGGCGGTGTGTTTTCAATCAAAGCCGGGCCATCCAAACTTGCTCTCTATCTCCAACACCATGTCGAAGCCCAGAGTCGCGACGCCGTGGCTGTCTTCGCACGCTGCCGGGTGAGTGGGGCGAACGATAGGTCGCGGGCGATGAAAGAGCCATAAAGAGCCTATTGCTCCTGTTGGTCGGTGGTTTTCCAGAAACTCCCTTGAACCCATTTCTAAGCCCCCAATTGTGGTAGTGGTGACACATTTCCGCGCACAGTCTTGAAGACGAAGTAAATCTCAAGTTCAAAAGTCGCCTCACAAGGCCATAGACTGCCATAGACCCCCCACAATCTTCGTTATTTTCGCCTCAATCACAGCACTTAACCATGTGGTGTGCATACATTTGGCCTGGACTCTCGACCAGTCTCCCCCCTTTGTTTCATACCTCTTGCTAGATTTTTGATGATTTTTGTTGACCTTCTAACTTTTCCCCACCTTGCTGATACAACGGCCGCAAGCGCTCAAAAAATGTAGGTGTGCATAGGTGAGTGTGTCCCCACCTCCAGTCTATGCGTACTATTTGGAGTCTTGATCCCCTCTACCTGTCGGACATTTCGGAGCTGGTGTGTCCAGAAACACCGAAAAAACAAAACACGCATATCGACGTTTTTCCGAGCCCCCTGCTTTTTCGAAAAAATTGTCGACACCTGTCCCCCCGTGTGCGTGCGCTAGAAAACGTAAGAGTGTATATTCTGACCCCTCTCCCTTTGTAGAGTTAGACCCCGTGATCCAGCGCGACTCATTTCCAGAATTCCGCGTGTTTTGGTGGTTGTGCTGTTTTTTCCATTGATGTTGCTTCCCCGGGCACAACATATTTCGAATCATACTTTTAAGTGTGCTGCGCGTTTGGTGTGCGTGTTTGGCGTCTCGACCAGATCCTGGCGGCGCGAGCCATCAAGAGGCTCCTGACGGGCAACGCAGGATCCAAGGACGGCGACGTCGGCGGCGGCGGCGGCTGGCGTTCGTTTTCTGGTCTGGTTTGGTCGCCAGGTCATTACACAGCCTTACTTTGAGGGCAAGGAAGAGGCTGTGTCCAAAGATCAAGACATGCTCGAGTGTGTGTCTTCTAAATCAATGATGTTTTTGAGGTGTACCTACGCGCGCAAATTGCTCGAATCACCGCAGACACCACGATTTGCCCGAAAGGTTTCTTGTACAAGGACTGGCATTTGTTCTAGACAGAGGTGTTGGTTATTTCCTGTATCGCATGGCCTGCAATGCTTCAGGAGGAAGAAGACTCACCCATTGAGCAGAACCCTGAGTTCAAGTGTCCTCCTCCTTCGGACCTACTGAAAAAGGAGGCAGTTGGGGCAGGGATTGAATCCAGCAAGGCATTTCACTGGGTGGCCGGACATACCGAAACGCCCGGACCTCGCAGGCATGGACTCACATGCAGCCCACGCCTCAGTGAGGGTGATCATGATGTGTTGATGCCAAGGGTCAGACCTTGAGGCCTCACATTCTGCTCAATGGTCGCACAGTCCACCAAGAAATCCCAGAGGGCGATACGGAAGACGAAATCGCATTGGCCGCAAAGATGAAGGAGGCACCACGCGATATCCCCACGAGCCGCTTCACAAAAAGCAACTATAATTGGATAAAGGATCATCCTGTGAAAACTGTCAGGAACAGGAAGCTGACCCCGTCCCAGAGGCCTTGAATTGATGTGTTGCAAGATGTTGCAAGACATCATGTTGCGTTGTTTAATGGCAAAGAATTCTTACAAATTACATCATTGCACCTGAATTTGCTGTTTGTAGGCCGTTATTCGACCTGCCGTGTTCAGTTCTCTTGGTCCATCATACAGCTCGCATATATCCTATGCTTCTGCTTGTCTTCCTCATCAGCTCTGCATGACATTCCTAACCATAGTATGCATAAGCCCTTCCTGACCATTTGTTCCATACCACCGTGTTTCTCTAGGCTTGTGAATGTAAAGAATGATTGCTTCCATTAGCAGTTGCTTGAGCTAGCTGGCGCTAGGTGAGGTTGTTTGTAAGGTAGTCTATGTTAGGCTTGTTGGATGTTCTTTTGCAGGAAGTTGAAGAACCTTCAATCACGACAGAGAAATGACTCACGTCAGAATGTGAGCACCTTCTAACCAAGTCTTTTTAACCTGATCCCTTCCTCACAACCCCTGAAGTTCCAGAATTGGTCTACAGGATGAACATCATGGTGTCCTGTAACTAGATTCTCCCCCCACCAATTCTGACAAGATTGCCTGTTTGTTACTTATTTGTTTGTTGTTTGTGCGCTGTTTACTTACATGCTCATACCAGCAAGGTCTTATGCATGTCTATGTTGTATTCCTGCAATGAAACGCGTGGCAACAGTGGTTCCAGACCAGAATTGTTCATTGCCCTACTGAGAAAGCGCCCCGCGCAATTCCTTCCGCAGTTAATTCGTGGTCTTCACGAAGATCATCTCCAGTGGTCTGTGAAGCAGGCCGGGTTCACACATAGCAGATCATAGCAGCCAGGACGGCTGAATACTTATGAACGTTTGGAAGCAGTACAAATTCACTGAAGGCTGGTGATGCTACAATGTATCGTGCTACACCAGACCCTGCTGCTCCTTTAAGGCACCGGTAGAGCAAACAGAGGTCTCTCGGTCTCTCTACATAGAGACACAGTTAACATGAGCTAACAGTGTCTCTTCATGTCGCGCATGTCTTGACCTGTCAGGTCAAGTGCAGTTGTTTATGTCCGCTCGCTGTCTTGGCCGGGTGCAGTCCAGCACTTGGCTGGCTACTTTCTTGATCCAAGACTCAGCTTCAAAAGAAGTTTCCGCTCAGGTGTGCGCCATTCGGAATGGGCAGTTTGTGAACATCTATGCATCCAGCTTGGGTGAAGCAAGCTGACATGTTGCGATCTTCCACAGTCTCAACGTCTAGGCCTGCTAGGCTTTCTAGGCCCCAGGCAAAAAGCACTCCCAGGTCGGCTATGGTCTTGCTGCAGTGTCCAGCAATTTCTTTCCAATGGCACCTCCGGATGTTCAAGACGAGCCAGAGGAGTGACTACTTAATGTAGACTCTTGATGAGCAAAACCCCCAGATGAAGAGCTTGTTCCTTCCAAATCAAGGGGGTCTGGTTGCTTTGCTTCATCAAGAGTCCTCACCTGTGTTGCTTTGCTGAACAAAAAACAAACAAAAACCAGCGGTGTTTGGTTGCCTGTCCCATCTGCTTCTTCCTCTGCTCGACTGTGTCGTTCGACCGATCCGAACGGAGGATCCAGGAGAAGTGGAGGAACCTCAAGGCTCGGAGGAGCCACCAGCCGCTGAGGAGTGAGTGTGAGAGAGTTCGCCTCGGAACCCGCAGTTGGACCGGATCATGTCAGCTCTCCGGCATGTTCGATGAAAAAGCATAAAGCAATGTTTTTCATGGACACGATGATGGAATCAATGAGAACAAATGTGTCAAAAGAGGCGACTCTCCTGCTGAATTCACTTGTTTCACTATTCCTTGTACCACTTGTCTCACTACGTGCGCTTCATGCCTTGGCATGTGAAACGAAAGATGGCGTGCAATCTCCAGCTTCGGAAACAAGTGACCTGCTATGTGTTTCAATTGAAGCACGCACAGAAATGGAAGTGCTTGTTTGTGTCGAACGGTTGGAAGCTATTTCCTTGAAAAATCTCTTTTCATGTGTCGAGCGCACAAGGTGCGTGCGGTTTCCCAGAGGGCCGTTGAGTCTATTGAAGCATATTTTCTGTAGAGTATTGTTCATTCATGTTCATTGCCTTAGATGATTCATATGGTATCATCGGATATCATCGGTTCTTCCATATATTTGTTGGGAGCCTCTGTGAGTTTCATGCTCAATCGTTTGGAGATGTTTGGAGCGACAAGAGCTTGAAGCTGGGTGGCAGGGTTTTTCTGTGAAGCGCATCTGCCAAGCAGTGGAAAGCCGAAAGCCCAAGGTTATCACGTCGGTTTTGGACAGGTGTTTGCTTGAATGGTGTCATCCCAGTCATCCTTGATGCAACAGAATGGTGTGGCAAACTCCCAAAAGCAAGCGAAATGCAAGCACAGATTCACCAACTTGGATGGGAGTAATATTAAATAGTTCCAACAATATCGCTGGCACGGTGGTACAGCCACTTCCTTCAGCAATGGTGTCAATGCACTTGAATGCCGCGGCAGGGAGCCCAGAGCGTGATTTGTAGCCCCTTGCAACTGCATGCTTCGCTTTTCAGGACTATGCGGGCATCAATGGGTGCAACTGCACAAAGAATCTGCAGGTGTATCCAACCGCGTTTAAGCAGGCTTGGCTTGGCGCTTCAGACCTTTGCATGCTTTTGCTGCTTACGCAAAGTGCAAGCTAGCGAGAGCGATTGGTTGGCTGTATCCATATGCAAATGCATGCATAAAACAGAAACGTATATGAAAGATGTTCCATCCACTTGCATAGACGACTGTACTCCCAGATTCTTGTTTCTCAATGCATCACTGCAGGGCGATGTTGGCATCCATTTGCATGCGGACCTGCCACGAGTTGGAGAGGACTTCTCGCTTTTTCCTTGTTGGAACATAATGGATTTTTTGAGGTGAAATACGACCCAAAGAAAGAATCGGTGCTTGATGCCAAGACGTTTGGCACTTGGTCCTTCTTTTGTTTTTGGTGTGGGCGGACATCAATCAATCTCTCTACAAGCTGACTGGATCATTCAAGCAGGCAAGACTCAAGGTGTCCAAGAGGAGTTTGACACGTGGTGATTTTTACTATGGGAGAAACATGGAAATGGAACTCCCTCTGTTTCTGATCTCGACGAGGTATGCGGTGCCAAACCTCGATGATGCACCCAAGCCTCCAAGTGCTGATGTCCAGCTCCTACGTCCCGGTGAGATGGACGAGCTCCGTGTGCAACACGAGCTCGGCCTCAGGTCTTGGAGAAGATTGAAGAGAGAGCTATTGAGGCGTGGAAAAGCTTCCGAATTCACGAGCTTCCGAATTCACGAGACTCCCCAAACCTCGGCCGGCATCGGATGCCGCCTTTCGTTGACCCGAGGTCATGGTCGAGAACGCCGAGTGTCGACAAAAGATGTCGCAGGTGGGTTCGGTTTTCGGTGGTTCCGGTGCTGTCCCACACGGCGAATCGGGACACAGGTGGTGTCCGGTCTTTGGTTTATGGCTTTTCGTTTGGGGTGGAATCTGCAGGTCAGTAAGGCCCTTCGCGATGCCCCAAAGCTTCCTCAGGAGATGAGTTTGATGAGTTTCGTCATGTTCCTTTCAACAAGTTCATGATGTTTTATGGTGCTTCATGCTTCATATTCATATGTTCATGATGTTTAGATTTCAGGATCTCTTTGGACCTCTACAATCAGGCGCCACACATCATGGACTTGGAAAAAAAAAGATGTAGTTGTGCGGTCTGAGTGATGTTGATGTCACACACTGCTAGAAGAGGCCTCCCATGGCAGCTTGCATGGATACATCAACTCTCTTTGCCAAGCAGTGATCTCAGCAACGAAAACCTCTCCCCGTTTGCCGGGCTCCCACTGGTTGAGGGAAATAGATGGAAATTGTCTTCCAAAAGCTGCTGTTGTTTGAGGGAGAGTACCAGAAACACAGACTATAAATCTATGAATTACTATCACTCAGAAGAAACAGCTGTGCTGGCAAGACCATGGTAAGACCATGTTCCAAATACTAAACAGAAGCTCCTGGCCTTACTACTAGGAGCAAGAAGCTACGAACGGGGCTCACTACTAGGGCTTTTCACTCCACTTCCGAAGTGAGCGTCTTTTTCTCCAAGGTGGCGAGCCGCCCGGCCAGGCCAGGCCTGGAGTCACTTTTAGCGCTGTTCAACGGGACATAGAACAGCAAACAGTATCCTTCGTTCAACGAAAAAGTAATTGGGGGTTCGGAAAAAAATAGACATCATGAGGTGCTTCGTTTGGTGCTTCATGGGGTGCAGAATGAATCATTGTTCATATATAACTGATTGTTCATGGAGGACAGGTTCAGCAGGTTGGGACACGTTCAAAACCTGGCTGGTTGACTGGACGACTGGGCGATTGAAAAACATTGAGATGCGGTGGGGGGTCCTACTAAATGGATGTGTCTGAACTTGAATTTCTTCTGCAACCAGTCATGCATTGTCCAAATTCCATGTTCTTCTTTGGTTGAACCACGCGCCTTTTCTGGCCAATGTGCCTCAATTCTTGGACTCGCGTGCCAAGTTCAGGCAAGACGACCCAAGCTCAGCCAATTCCTGTGAGCTGAAAAGAAGGGTTTTTGTGCGAAGTGAGATTTTCGCACATGTTCGCACTTGTAGAATCTTGTAGATTTTGTGACTCGCAAAGTGTCTTCTTCTTGTTCTGATTCTGTGATGGTTGTTTTCCAGCGCCTCCTGAGCACGCGTGCCAGACGAGCTTTCGGATGCTTTCGTGTTGCTGTGCTTTCGGTGTGCTTTCGGCAATGCCAAGATCACCAGACAGTAAAACTGAACAAATCCAGGCTGCCAAAATTGGTACACACCCTCAGAGATATTGTCGCATGATGAAGGACATGCTCACACAATTTCACACATGTTCAGGAGTTTCGATACTATGATTGTGATTCAGATATTCAATTGTTATAAATCTCACGGCATCTGAGCATTTTTCAGCCGTTTCTTCACCACCCCGCGCTTGCTTGGCGCACGTTCAACGCTGATCGCCATGGACTGTTCGTCTTGGCCTCCATGGAATCTGAACGGCCAGCCAAGCGGGCTCGTCAGGCCATTTCCTCAGAAGCCAAGCCGTTAATCTGTGATATCCTCTTTGGGAAGAAGCCACTATAAAATGCTGTGCCGACGTGTCACAATTTTATATAACTAGACCTGCGGACATGGATGGGGATACTTGAATGAAATTCATGAGACGTGCCTTCCACTGGACCAGGACCAGAAGACCGTGGCATTGCCCATTCTTGCTTTCCGAGAGGAGCGTCCAACCCCTAACGCGCATCATGTGAGACGTCTCGGATCGTGTAGCGTAAGAGCTGTCCGTCAGGAGATTGTAAGAGCTGTCCGGCAACATCGCGTTGTGGTCCTCGTGGGGGAAACAGGGAGTGGCAAGACAACACAGGCACTTTTCACCTGCGACGACATGACATTGGCGTGAGTGGTGGACAACTACTAAGTACCAGTACTGACTACTGCTTGAGGTTTGATTTGACTCAGAAGCCGTGCAAAAATGGGGCCACTCTGAGAGCTAGTTTCCAGGTGCCACGTTTCCTCTACGAAGCTGCTGTGGCCACACGGCCGGGAAGCATCGCAGTGACGCAGCCACGGCGCATTGCAGCCATCAGCGTGTTGGGCTTGGAGCGTGGAGCGGCCACGCGAGCGTCCCAAAGAAAAGCCTCGTAGGAAGGCTGCCCCCCAAGCCTCGTTCGATGGCCCTGGTGAGAATGCGGAGTGAAACCGTGCAACGGGAAGATTCTGTCATGTTCTGTTGTACAAACACAAACTTTGACAGAAACCAGGTGTGTGAGTAGAAGGATGGGCCCAGCTGATCCATCACAAGAAATACATGTAAAGAACACATCCAGAATGCACATCCAGCCACCTGCAAACGTAAGGTGGCTCATCGTGTGGCTTCAGAGATGGGCTGCGAAGTAGGAGGCCGGCACGGCACGCCATGACCAGAAACAAGGCCCTTTGTCCGTTGTTCACATTTTTGTTCATTGGTTCTCGTACCATCCTAAACAACAGTTTATATAATTGGGCGAAGTGAATGGGGCTTGATGCAGCATAGGGCGTTACTTCCCACTCCTCACCATGCTGCACTTGGCCAATGCCCATTTTTAGTGACCTGTAAGCCTGCAGTTGCCAGGTGTGGCAACATCTCACCTAATTTTCGCCTATCACGTAACCACCACCCAGGGAAGCAGCAGCCAAAACCGCCCTCTTAGATCCTCAGTCAGGTCTATGTCAGGCCGCTCATATGCGTATCAAATAAGGCTGCGCAGAAGATGCGCAAGCAGACGTGCAAGCAATCCATGCAAACATTAGGCTCATTGCTTCCGTTCACGGCTACATGTTCTGTGCAGATCTCGTTGGATACCACGTGCGCTTTTTGAACCGCACCTCCTCCAAGACGAAATTGAAGTGCCCCAAAGCTGCTTGTGCACCAAAAGCGTACGCAGACAGAGAATGTATTCAGTGGAGGTATATGACCGATGGAATGCTCGTTCGAGAGTCCGCAGCTGGAGGAAGCGAGATTTGATTTTGAATGCAAACTGAAGGTGATTTTATTTTGTGCGAAACTGCATCTCCTCATGCTTCAGAGGAGCTCATGCAGGGATCAATGGTTCGTCCATCGTCGTATTGGATGAAGCCCATGAGTGTTCTCCTCAGCGAGAGACACAGCACAGGAGTTGTTTGGAGTTTCATAGCGTCTCTCCAGACCACAGACACAGATAGACAAAGCCGCTTCGAATTTGCAGGCGTGGAATAAATACTGACGTGCTGCTTGGACTGGTGAAGCTAGCCAATGCCCTAACTTCTTTGCAGCTTGCGGCATTTGTGTGTAGTGTGTGATATCATATCGTGTGTATCATTTGCCCTCCATCTTTTTGAGTCGCATTCTGCAGGCCTTGGAGGAAGACAAACCACCTGGGCTACGAGTCGCCTCCACAGTGTTTTTGGAGCAAAAAAGCACCAAAAACGCCAAAAACGTGTGGCGTTTGTTTTACTTCGCTGCACAATCGAGGTAGTTGTGATGTCTGCCACAATCCATGCTGCACCCTTTGTGAATTTCTTTGGTGGGAGCAAGGAGGCGAAGGGTCATGGTCCGTGAGCACAGTGCTTTTGGCAAGCGCCACGCCACTGTTCATTCGGCTTCTGCGCACGCCACGTGATAGGTGAAACTGGTCAAAGTTCCAGGAAGACAGCATCCAGTGTGCCTTTGATTGCATGCTTTCCATTATAAAGCCATTCGCTCTAGCATGTTTTGGGATAGGCTCTTTCCGGCAGAAATTCGACCATGCAACACCCATATAGCAAACCGAGCAGAACTTTGCAGCAACAAACCAACGAAGCTATACAACAAAACCTGCAAAATTCTATTGCAAACAAAAAACAGCAAAACTATACAGCAAAAGTCACAACAAAAAGGACACAACTATCAACTATCCAACAAACAGGGTGCAACTACCCAGGAAGTGGCTCAACGCTTTCACCTCATACCAAAAAACTGTTGGCAAAAATCATCACATGGGTAGAAAAACAGAAGGAAGTGATCAAAAAGGTCGAAACACATGTGAGTTTAAAAACAGTAACAGTCAGTGAGAAAATCAACACGAGTCATCAGCAAGTCAAATTATTTGGGCTCGATTTGGAGAGGGATGGCTCTTTTGGTTGAACGCCTCGAAATCCGACTTAAGTGTGTTTTGAGCCAGGGTTGACTCTATTCCGTTCGGAAACGGCAAAACGATCAAAAGAAAACACGAGGCCTTCACAAACGTGTTGGACCAAATTCCGGTTTTAAACTACAGTTTTGGACACGAAAACCGTTTTGAGCAATTTTGGGGGCCAAATCACATCACAAGTTTCAGCAGAAAAAGCTCTTGTGGGGAGGAAGGTTCCAACATGCGAAGAAGAACTTGGAAGTTCCATTTTCTGTTTGCACAGAGTGTCACACTTGGAAAGTATCTGGCAGTTGTTCACCTTTGAAGCAATTCAGCTTTTGGTGATTCCGTATTGAAGAGTGTTAATTCATTTTAAAGATGTATATATAATATATATACATGTATATGTTGTTTTTTTGAGAGCGGACAGTTGTGGCAGTGCGCTTTTTGGCCCATTTGCTATTACAAATGGACTATTTACTACTATATATATATTTGTATGATGTGCACTGTGTTGTGAAGTTTGCACGGGTGTGGACCAATTTTTGTGTTGTTCCTTTTGGGTTTTGTCGGATAGCTGAAATGCTTCGTGCTCTATGGTATTGACAGTTTAGCTGCATGGTTTACCAGTATGGTTTACCTCATGTTAAGTGTATGGTATTTACATGTTCACTCTATAGCATAGCTGTATAGCATCATATTTTTATTTGTATAGTTTTCACGCTTTACTGTTATACCTCCTGTTTATGTATATTTTAAGTATAGTTATAGCCAGTTCGTCCTGAAGAAACGTGTTAGATAAACATGCTAACTTATGCTTGATCCTTTTCAGATGGCTCATGCTACCTTGCTGTGATCAAGGCAAGTGTTCTATACACCAGCTCCAGAGCCAGACATTATAGAGGTGGGAAGGGAGCGAGGAGAAAATCTGGAGCTACGCATGCGGCCTTTGTTTTGTTGCAGTTTTCATGACACGCGCGAAATGAAGCAAAATGGCCAACCACGGCAAGTTCCCCTGGTAACTTATGGATTGCTATGGTAAACCGAGCACGTCAACCGATCGTGACATGTTCGTTTCCAGTCACTGGCCGTCAGGCAGCGCTCATCTCAGTGTTGCAGCTGCACCTGACCAGACCTGCTGGTGACGTGCTGGTGTTTTTGCTCGGTGCACCCAGCGGTCTCTGGTGCACCGTAAGCTGGGGAAGGACCGACCGACCGAAACGCAGGCGCTCGCCGTTCCGCCCGTTGAGGCCTGGTCAAGATGACATTGAAAGCTTACAAAGACTCCTAGAAGAGAAGCAGGAGCGATGAGAGTGTTTCAGTGCCTTTTAAATGTAGGAGGTGCTTCTTTCCGACCAAAACCTGAAAATTGTTTCAGGAGATGTTAATCAAAGAAAGGCAAAGGGTTATGCTGACAAACATGGTCATCGCAACGATTGGTGGAGAAGCATGCAGGCAAGAGAACCCCACCAAGCGTGTCGTTGATCAGCAAGGCTAGAACGAGATCGAAAGGAGTAACTTAAGGAATTCTCAGTTGAACGAGAAGTACTGAGAAACACAACGAACTATACTGGCGGGACAGGTGGTCTCTCTACATCATCATGGCCGACTTACGAGAAGGCAGGAGACCATCTCTTCAGATGGAGCACCCGAGGTCAAGACGATGGCCAGCAGTGTTTGGTTTTTTGAGGTGCAGAATCTCTTGGTGAGACCGATCTACGCATCGTTGCCCTTTGACCAGCAGGTGTATGATCCAGATCAATGAAGTCAATGAAGCGTTTTGTCCTGTTTGCCATGAGTCGCGCATGAAGCGTCGGTGTCACAAGGAGCTTGTGTTTCAGCCAAGTCCTCCTGGGTCCTCTCCTGAAGACGTGGCAAACGAAGAGTGACAAGTGAATTTGCATTGAATGATATTGAAGAAGTGTGTTTCTTTTCGATATCGTTTGCTTTTGGGGTGTTTTTAAATCTCTTTTGAACAATTTTCTGTGATTCCTTAGACTTTGGAGGTGCCGGAAAGTTATCCTGGCAACCAACATCGCAGAGACGTCCATCACCATTCCAGGAATCAGGTATGTGATTGAATCTCGGTGCCGATTGAATCGCAGAATCTGGAAGCCCATGAGTCTGATGAAGCATGTCATGTCATTCCGAGGACACTGGATTGGTAAAGCTAAAGATGACCAATCCTCACACAGGAGTTGAGATGCTCAGGCGTGATGATGCTCATTGAACAAACAAAGAGCAATCACTGTTTGTGAAAAGAATTGACGAACGTTCGCCACATGGACAGAAGGATATTATGAACATCTAGAACCTGATTGACCCCTGTTTTGCAAACACGTTTTTTTCTATCCAGAGGTCATATAGGTTCCAGGCATATATAAACCATACCTCATTCATCCTTCTTCGCGCAGGACCGTTGAAACTTCACAAGCTTCTGCTTTGCAGAGGGCTGGGCGTGCAGGCCGTGCCTTGCTGCGTGACATCGCGTGACGAAAAGCGGCTTTCTCCGATGAACCACAGACAGCCACTGTTGTGCATCATCGTTGCTAACAAGGGGTCAATCAGGTTTGATGCTACTGTAGTGGTCAATCAGTATACTGTATACTAACAAGTTTGATGCGAACAAGTCCGCTCTTCACTGGAGGGGGAGACGAAACTAGACTTGCTTTTTCACGCAGGGCGTGAAGCTCCGGGAGAAGTCTTTCGACTTTATGTCGAGCTCGCCTTGCTCTGTTGCTTGAAATGTATCCTCTCGCCAAGCTCCCGACTGAGAAGGAAATCCGCGTTATACGTATCAATGCTTACCTCACTGGGCCAGGTCAGAATATCACAAGATGCCTGTTCAGACACCCGCTGAAATTCTTCGTTGTGAAATGGCTGAAGTCTACATGCAACTCAAGGCCACTCAAATTCCCACCACTCACCGACCTCAGTCTGTGGGCTTTGGCTGAAAACTGGAGGCTCTTGGCGTGGCAAAGGTTGTGGGATTTCCGTTGGTGGCGGACTTGTGAAAATCAAATGTGAGTCTTGTCGAAGCAGCTACGATGCAAGATCAGGTCGACAAACCCCCACGAGAAGCCTTGGAGAAGGCCGCACATTTTCTATGTCGCATTGGCGCTTTGGATACAAGAGATGTCGCGGCCTCAATTGTCCTTGAGCGGCGCTGACACTTTCTGACGACCGGACGACCGTCATCGACAACCGTCATCGACGACCGTCACGGGCGGAGTGGTTTTCGGGGTGGGACGCACGTGTTTCACCAGTGGCGTCGGCCGAAAAATGGGTGTGTGAAGTTTCAGTCTCCGAAGTGGCTGAAAACCACAAGGGCTGAAAGACTACATATATCATATATATGTCAAAACATGTCAAAAACCGGGGAGAGACCACCAACAATGATTCAGAATAGACCACGAGACATGGTTTATTAGGGAAAAATCCGGGCTTGGGGTTTTGACTCAAAACCACATGGGTCGATGTGATCGATGTTCCGACCCCAGGAGGTCGGAACGGCGGTCTCCCATGTCTGAAGGCTACACACCCATGTCGTTCTAAACAGAAATGGCCTCCTCAACCAATAGACCAAGAGCTTTTCCTCAGTTTTTACAGCTGGAAAAAGGAGATTGAAGCTGAAGGCACATCTTCGCACTGAAAAGGATTCACTGTAGTTGGCCCACGGCTGATAGACGGCCGTGGTGTTTTCTTGCATGTTTCTTGATTTTTCGTTTTCTACGCTGTCGTTTTTGCATGTTTGCTTGAGGGGGATGTGGATGCTACGTGTGGGAATGGGTTGGGGTGGGGTGGGGCATGTTGACGTTCGGTTGCACTTGCTGCATGAAGTTGATGCTACGTGTGGGAATGGGGTGGGGGTGGGGTGGAGTGGGGTGGGGCATGTTAACGTTCGGTTGCACTTGCTGCATGAAGTTGATGCTACGTGTGAAGACTGAAAAAGTCGCAACTTTTTCCGACGGCCCAATTAGTTACGTAGTTTATCGTAGTTTCGAAAATGCTTCGATCTCAGCATTTCGCCTCAGCGAAACTCTCATTTCAAGCAAATCTGCTTCGAGTTGACCATGATTCCACTGATGACACGTTGGGCACATCATTCATAATGGAATTACGCACATTTCGACATGATTAACCCACGACCATCATTGACTTACACCACGGCCGTCTATCAGCCGTGGACCTAGTTTCACGCTAGGTGCGAACATGTGCGTCATGTGCAGATAGGTCCGAACATCTATATACCAGACCAAAAATAACTCAAAGCAGGCACACCGCCGCGCCGCAGGACGCCGCTTGGGTCGCCGGTCGCCCGCAGAACGCCTGCTGACTGCTGAGGACTTGACCGATCTGGGCCGAAAGCTGGCCACGATGCCTGTGAGCCCTCTGTGCGCCGGATGTTTTTATGTTTTTTTCGCTTCGCGTTGTTTGGAAGGAAAGGCAGTGTGGGTATATGGCGGGTCAGGTACGCGCACTGTTTGCATGTATCCTTTGAGTTTGAGTGTACTGCTGAGATCCTCAGCCTTGCACTCAGCAGTGAGATGTGAGTGCAGGGAGTTTGCTGAATGTTTCATAGCATTCGAGGCATCGTAGCGATGTTGTCAGCAGATGCCCAGATCTTCATCACCTCCAAGAAGGAGCGCCTCATCCCCAGATCCGTGGAGCGATCATCGATGAAGAGTGTGTCGCGCTGCAGCTGTGAAGAGTGTGTCGCTAAGGAGATGGCGCAAAAGCCAAGGCATTTCACCACGAGGACCAGTGTGCGCATTTCTCCAAGTCGTCGAGATCAGAGGTGTGAAAAACTGCTAGGATGGTGACCATCTCTGTTTGCTCTCAGCATTCAGTCAGTGGAAGAAGCATCAGCATCAAAAGGCCGGAACACATTCGGCGGAATCAGGCGAATTTGAACCTCCAAACCTCCAACCTAGATCAACCTAGTAGCTTCCAACCTAGAAGCAATGGCCAACCTCGATGGCCTCCAACCTATATAATTGCGAATAGTTTGCTCGGCTAGCTTTCCTAGGCCTTTGCTTCGCAGAATGGTCTCAATCATGCTGCTCTGGAGAAGTCTGTCCTGAGCTCAAGAGTCTGTGCACGGTGTCATTGGTGTTGGGCTGCAGTCTCAGGTGACGATTCGCAATCAACTGAAAGATGTCTTGCACCAAGCAAGTCTCTCAGATCTTCGACAAGACACGAGTGTAAACACGCACGGCACGGCCGGGTCCAAGGCATGGGGAGCATCCCAAATTTCCAGCTGTGGCGGGTCGGCTTGGGCATGTTTTGGATCGCTTCCGCGCCGCGTGCTTGCCGCGAACACGGCACTCTCTACCACACAACTCGCCGGCTTCGGCGCCCGGCTTGCGAGTTCGGAGGCCCAAGAACTGGATGACGGTGCGCAGATGCCTTTTGAAGGCTTCGCGATGTGTGACCAGTTCTCACGGTCCAGTCCACAGTTCTATTGCTGTCCTGACAGGGCCTGTTCACACAGACAGCGCGACGAGATGAAGTGAATCAGAATTCCTACCGGACCTTTCTCTCAAGACAGGAGTGTGTGTGCAAGCATGTGCAAGCACAACATGTTTTTGTTACTTTCAGTGCCTCCGGGCGAAAGGAGGCCAGACTGCATCCTTCAAGTGTGCTTCACCGACGTCAACCACCACCGCCACAACCTTATACAACCCAAAACTCTTACTCCCAATTTGTTATATAGATTGCAGGTTGAGTGTGACATCTAAATTTGAGGCCCTGCGTTGTCTACACCGAGTTGTTCGTTACAGCCAAGAGCTATTTGCGAACAGTTACCGAGGTGCAATGCAACACGATGCTGAGCTTTGCTGACTGTCCCATCAACTAGACTAAGATGTTCAAGGATGTTCGATGATGTAGCGGCTGTGTATTGGATTCATTTAGATTCTAGAAAGGAGATGCAACGACCTCTCACAAAAATACAAGGCATAAGGAAAGACCTGTTGCGGATTCTCTACAGTCAGTGCCAGCGAGGTGGATCCTGCCTGGCTTCCAGAACTTTGTCCTCGTTTCTTCAGCACAGGCAACCTGGCCGAAAGAGGGCGGAATACCCCTAAACTTGCATCGATGCACTTGTCTCAGTGTGGTTTTTGTGCCCACAATATCTGAACGTCACGCAATTGGACAGCGGTTGATTCGCCATCCCAGTTTAGGCCATTTTGGCCAATTCTGCACTGAAGCCAATTCAAGAACAAAAGGTCTGAAGGTCGAACGAAACAATAAGAAATGGTCTAAAGGATTCTAAAGGTCTAATATGGTCTAATGGTCTAAACGTCTAAAACAAATAACGAAAATGGTTTTGCGAGGCACCGAGCCGAAAGAGTATTTGCTTGGCACACAGTGCAATGGCGACAGGTGCCATACAGCAAGCACGCGCAGAGGCATTGCATGCTGGCAAAGAGGTCTCATATGGAAGCAGCCCCTGATACAACGCTACAAGTCCATCGCAGGCAAGCATTGCCTTTTCCTCATTGGCCAAAACCCTGCGATTGGATGACTGTGTAAATCCGAAACCCTGTAAATACTACATTGTAGAGGGGGCGCGCCCACAGTCGATTTCGGGGGTGCCGTTCACCGATTTCGGCGTGCGACTTCGTGTGGTCAGACCAAGAGTACCAAGAAATCTCACTCTATATTAACCACTTGAGCACCGCAAGAAACCTCCCAAGATGAACTATGTAAAGGCCTTGTCATATGGATGATGCAAGCTCACTTGTGATGATGCAAGTGATTTCGATAGATTGCTGGCTACGTTTGATGGTGTTCTGAGGAAAGTGTCCGGTCAAAAGCAGAATCCCTGAGCCTGTCCTAGTTAAGGTTAATGATCCATGATGCCGACGTGAGTTCTTTGTGGGGAGGCAGCGGGTCAACATACCACTTATGTCAGATCAAAGGAACATCAATAACCAGAAAATCAATGAAAATACATTTATTCTTACGCGTGCGCAGAAGGTCACAAAACCAAGGAGGAGAAGGAGAAGAAAATTCCAAAGATATTCAAGATTCAACATATATATATATACATCGCTTTAAAACAAAGACAATAATAATAATATAATCCATATTTCTTTGTAATTACTCAATTCTCAAGAATATATGTAAAAATAATTTAGGTATTCTATTCACGAAAGGTAGCTTGGTAAGGACTACCTTGAATTTGCTTTGCGAAGTAAAGGGATTGGTTTGAAAGTTTGTTCGGGATTAAAGATTGGTAGATTAATATTTAACACCCCCCCTCTTCCCCCCTCCTTCTTATGTGATGAATGCTCCACTCCCCTCTCCGTCTCTTCTCCTCGTCGCTTCCCCTCGTCGCTAGCACAACTAAATGCGACATAGCCTCTCTGCAAAGCCTTGTGGAGAAATCCCTCGCGTCGTGGAACACCGTTCGACTTAGTCTTATACCCTAGGGTGGCGAAATCTTGTCGCATCGTGGAACACACCCACCATAACGTGACGTTTATCCTTGGTAGTATCGGCCTACAAGGGGGTTGGTCATTGAGTCATTGCGGCTTCGACGCAACGCGTGCAGGCCTGTAATCCTAACACAGTGCGTGCAGCTGTGGGATTATAGTTGATACACATACGAGCGTTTACGCATTGCGACTTTTACGTACGCTTGTTTTCACACCCCTAGACACAAACGAGCGTCGACGCAACGTAGCCTCTCTGTAGAGCCGTGTGGCGCAATCTGACCGCAACGGAGTTCTTCTTGAGCCTTCTTATGCCTTCTTGTATTTTCTGGCTTTGTTGGTTTCATCTATGCTTGACCAAGGGGCACGTTCTTGAAACACCGGAGACAATCCTTTATTAGAAAAGGTCCCGACAGCTACTCGGTCCGTCTCTACCTTTCGTGTTTGCCCGCTTAAGTGTATATGAATGAATAATTACTAAAACGTATTATGATTAATTTAATAAAGGATGGTTATAAATTTTAGGAATTGGATTAAAATTATTTGAAAATAAATGATTTTTATATTAATTAAGAATAGATGTATAATATTATATAAGTTAAATATAATGATTATATGATTGAAATTTATATATATAATTATAAATTAGAATATTAAAAAAAAATTATATATATGTAATTGTATATATGGATATAATTTCTTTAAATAAGGAATATTTTACATTATGATTTTAATTAATTTAGGAAATATAATTATTTTTTTGTTTATTTAATATATTTTTGAATGTTTATGGAAGGATTAAATTTATTGAATTTAGATATATTTATTGGATAGCCCGGGCAATTCGATTTATTATTTCGTCGATTGGGGAAATAATGATTATTGGATTTTAATGAATGATTGTTTATAGCAATCGGTCGGCTATAAAATTTTAGTGATTGATTGGTCGTTGGATTTGGTTGGCCGGCCGGGTAGTAGTGATAGTAGTAGGAATAATAGCGGTAATTATAATAATGGTAGTAATCGACGCGGTTATTAATATTGGATTGTGAGTTTTGGTCGGCCGTTAGTTGGATCGTGGTCTTTGATCGATTAATCGATAAATTCGCAATATTATTGAACGGAAAATTATGGTTTGAATTGGAATGGACGATAAAATTGTTTTATGAAAATAATATTTGAAATTATTTAAATGTAAATAATTTAAATGCTAAGATGCATTCTCCAAATTATATTCGAAGATATTTTCGCTTTACGTAGTTTTAATTTTTGATTATTGCTCGATATATGATAAGAATGAATTATAAAAATATCTATAAAATCTATAATATTGTTATTTATTCTTGCTAGTAAAACGGAATATTGGATTTTGTATGGCCGGAATAGGCTATTTATTGTCCAACGTTATCGATTCCTCCTTAGTTAATATGAATGCCATTTGTTATTCTTTTTATTTTTCTAAAATATTATCTTCATTATATTTAGGAGAATTGGCCTCATGGATAATATGACCTGATAGAATGTCGTTATCTTTTAAAGCATACTCTGCAGCACTATTTTATTTAGAAATTGGATCTTTTGCATATTGTTCTGAATTTGTTGGGTGAGATTGCGAACGATATTTGGATCCTGCAAATTTCAAAGATATATAACATATTGGTAGGAGGACATATAAATGGAATATTTTTTTTTAATATATAGATATTAATTAATAATATTTTCCAAAATTTATATATCATTCTAGAATTCCCATTCGACCTGCGCTACCTGATTAAAGCAACCCCAAACTTCGCCAGTATTTATTTGCAATGTCAAAGGCGGTAATATTCATTTGCAATGTCAAAGGCGACGCAAATATATATTTCCATTGAAATTGCCAGCCAAAAATATCAAATATTCTTTTGGATAATATTTTATTTCGGAACCCATTCAATTTATGTTCATTCATATAATGCAATGGCCGGAAGGCATTCAATAATACCAAGGAAATAGAAAAGCAATGGTATGATTTCACCACACTAATAGGAAATGGGGACAACAAGGCCTCCGGGATGAAGAAATACCACCTTCTACAATCTAATTTCCATTATCTTAGGGAATAGGTTCACAAACCATAAAACAAATACCACCAAATCATAGATCTTGCCAATTAGATTTTTTTCAATGTCCGTAAAATAGAAGCCTCCGATATAAATTTTGTTCTTATAAAATATATAAAGGTTATATATTCGTTATAATATGATAGAGAAAAATTCATATTTTAATGCTATAAAATCGATTTTTCGTAATCGGTGGAAAACATCGGAATTATTTTATTTCGTTCCTAATAAATATAATAATTTAAATATGGTAATAATAATCGTCGAAAAATTCAATTCTAATTAATATAACAACTTATATATTTTAATTATATAATTCATTTGCAAATTGCATTTATATAAAATAACTATTTTATAAATTTCGAAATTCAAAATTTCGAAATAAATATAATATTTATTATTGTTTACAATAATTTAAAAAACAAAATAAAAAATATTTATACCAATATCATTACATATATAATACCAAAATAAATATATCATAATAATTTATATATATAAAATAATATTCCAAATCAATATCAAAATTAAACCCAATATTTATCAAAATCAAATACAATATTCTCTTATTAAAATTCCGCCCCCCCAATTTACCCGAAAATTAATTTCATTAATTAATAATAAATATCTAAATATATATTAATCCTAATAAATCATAATATATTAATCATCAAATTATATATCTCCTCGAAAATAATCAATAATACCTAATTAGAATTATTTTTTTAATATAAATTCATTCCCTAATTAATATAAATTCATTCCCTAACTTAAAAAAAATATTGATATATTAAAAAATAAATATAAATTAAAAATAAATATTCCAAATTTTATCCATTTAATATGGTTTCCTAGATGAATTAGAATAATTTCCATTTTATAATTTCTTAATATTCAATAATATATTTGTGAATATGCATCCGCATATTGATGTGGATGTGCCAGGTTCGTCAGCTGATGCATGAACATTGTGCATTTTCGCCCGTGCCTTTTCCCTTTCGGCACGAATCCCCACTTCAGGTTCGGGAGGGCTTCTGTCATGACGCCATGTGAGCCCGGCTGCGCTGGCCGTGAAAAGTCCGCGGCTTCGTTCGACAAGCTTTGTTAGTTGGAGCACACCTTGTGCGGTGCTTCAAGTTGGTTGCTACCATCAAATTGGTAGCGGAGCCTACGGGCTCGAGCTCCATACGCTACCTGCGCCGACACTTCGAGATCGCCTCCCTCGATTACAAGATCGATGGCTACATCATCGACGAGCACGACAGATGCTGCAAAGGACAGCTGGGTCCCTCAGTTCTCCAATAGGCCTGCCGACTACCGAGAATGGCGGGCAAGGATCCACCTGTACCAAAAGAAGATGGTGATTCAGAAAAAGCCCTTGGAAGGTGTGATCAACATCGTCACCAACCTCACCGGCATCGCTTGGAAGCAGATCGAGCCGATCGCTGAGTCCATCAGCGATGACAAGGACAAAGGCTTCGAACGCCTCATCGAAGCATTGGATCGTACGTTCAAGTACGATGAACGTGTGGAACAACCACGAGCCTTCGAGAAGTTCTTCTACTCCCTCAGCCGACGAGGAGAACAAACGTTGATGTCCTACTGCACGGAACACCGTGAGTATTTGCGAGAAGTGGAGAAACACAACATCCGCCTGCCGAAAGAAGTCACCGGTTGCCTCCTCCTTCGGCGAAGTGGACTGACCCAGGAACAGAAACAATTGGTTCAGTCACAATGTGGCCCAACCCTTGAAGAGGGCAAGGTGGAACAAGCCATGTACTACCTGTTCGGCCAGGACTACCGTGGCAGAGTTGGCTACAGCCATCTTCAAAGGCCCACTGGCCGTGGAAAAGGAAACAGCCGCTGGAAGAAACCTCAGATAGCATACACTGCCTATGACCTCCAGGAAAACTACGACGACCAGACTGAGGAGCTCTACGAGGCAGCAGATGAGGACTATGAGCCCTATGAGGATGAAGAATATGAGGGTGCCTACTATGAGGACGACCCTATGGAGGAAGAAGGTCTCTATGCTGCTCAAGAAGATGACCTGCCAGACATGGATGATCCTGAATGGGAAGAGTGCTATGCCACCTACCTTGACGCTAGGCGACGTTTCGCCGAGCTCAAGACAAATCGTGGCTTCTACCCGGTCGTCGCTCTGACAGACACCAACGCCGCCCACGGCACCAGCTTCCAGCGACCCATTCCGCCCAAGTCCAAAGGAAAAGGGTCCAAGAGCAAGAGCAAACCTCCACCACAGAAGGGTGATGCTAAGAGCCGTGGCAAAGCTGCCACCGCCTCAATGGCTAAGCCCGGAACATGCCTCCGATGTGGCCAACCAGGTCACTATGCCGCCCAATGCCCACAGACTGCAAAACGCAGCACGACAACAACAAGCACCAGCTCTTCGAAGAAGACAAAAGGTGAAACGGGTATGATGGTTTCCATCGAGATGAAGGACCTAACAACTAAGCCCACTGGACTTCATGGCACACTGGACGGTGGGGCAAGCTGCATGG